GCGTAAGACAGACAGGCAGAGAGAAAAAAAATTGAAAGTACTAGATCTACAGCAGCTGCATGTCTTGCTGATCATGCCCCTCAAACACTTGCGGCTTGCGACCATACAGTCACTCCAACGTGTGCAAAGAAAACACACACTCATAGTGTCATACATACACATTTACACAGAGACACACGTACACACACACACATAGTGTCAAACATACACATTTACACAGAGACACACGTACACACACACACACAAGTCTTAGTACGTGAAGGTGTGTGTCTGTTTGTACATGTTGGAGTGTGTTTGTACGTGTTAGAGTGCGGGATACATGTGTGTGTGTGTATGTGTGTGAGTGTGTACATGTGAGTGTATGTATGTGTGTGCGCGCGCATGTGTGTCCTTGCATATATACTGGTGTTTGTCTTTGTACGATTTGACGTGTGGAATAATACGAGCGTGCATGAGTGCGCGCGAACGCACTTGTATGAGTGCACTCATGTATGTGTCTCAGTGCGCACATACACACATTAATGTGTGTCAGTGCGTATAACAAAAAAGCCTCACCTTTACACTGCGGGTTGACACATCTCTGGGCCGAGTTGAGGTACCTCACGAGGCTCTGCGGCAGGTCCTCACACGTGTAAGGGATCCGCTCGATCTTGGCCACACGGCCTGACAGCTCCAGAAGCGACGGTGGGTTGTACAAAAGGTCCTGGACACACGAAGGGGGGGGGGGGAAGGGAGGGGGGAAGAAGAGACAAACAAGGGTGATAATATTTTGTTTGACGGTTTGTTTGTTTATTTCTTAAACAAAGTCTGCTTCGACTATCAAAGCACCCCGGAAATAGCAGTTCACAAGACCGGGACAAACATACAGAAGAAGTAGAGGAAAAATGACGACAGTAAGGATGAGAATAGAAAAAGCAGCAGTTCCCCCTATGTTGTTCCGGCAGAGCACGAGCATGGCATTGATAAATCAGCTCATTTAAATATTTACAATTCAATTCTACTGTTAATTTTGTCTGTTGACATCCACCCCTTGGCGCTCGCAACTGCATAAGGTCAAATGAGCGTCAAGGGGTGGATGTCAACAGACAAGCCCTTACAGAGAATCAGGCATACCCTGCTCACCTCTCTAGCTTTAACAGCACAACGTCTGTTTCGACTTTCAAGGCACCCCAGAAATAGCGGGTTACAAGAGTGTGACAAACATACAAAAGAAGTAGAGGAAAATGACGATAGTAAGGATTGAGAAAGAAAAAGCTGCAGTTCCCTGTTGCAGTTCAGGCACAGTTACGAGCATGACATTGTTGAATCAGCCCATTTATAATTCTACTGTGCACACGAACATGTTAATGCCCCCCCCCC